AGTTATTGAAGGTACAATTAGAATAAATATTTTGCTCCTTAAAATTTGACTCTACAGAAAGAGAAGAAGACTCTGTGTTCTCAGGAATTGAATTTTCTATTTCGCTATTAATTCATCTTTAATTGTCCCAAATCGCTGCATGTTGAAAATATTTTTAATTTTATTTAAAAATACACTTTTAATAAGCTAAAATGATAGAACTTGTGAATTTTTGTGACAATTATTTGACAGATGATTCAAAAACCAATTTTATATGCAATTGTTACTACGGTAACGATTGCATCAACAGAAAATTTATCCGATTTTTTTATCCAGTTATATTTTCTCTTCCTTCCTATTTATCCGCTAGCAAACTACGATTTTTGACATTTCAAATGGGATTATTTATACATGAGTGGAATTGCCAGAACACAAACTTTGTATCCCGGGAAATTTTAATCTTTTGTACTGTCAGTGGCATAATAATGGATTGTCTTCAGTCGCTGTGCCTATGGCGGTAGTTCCACTAAACGAAATTGAATCAAATCAAATCAGATCAAATCAAAATATGCTTTATTGTTTAAAGATACAAATCTTGATAACAAAGCTTCCAAATATAATATAATTAAAATTAAAATCATCAACAAAGTAGGTACGTAAAAATAACGATAATAAACAGGAATAAAACAGGAATAAAAACAACTGGATAGAATAGATCGAAAGACTGCTCAACATTAAAATTAAAAACAAACTTAAAATTAAAACTTAAAATTATTGACCATTAAACAGAGGAGATGAGAAGTATTCCTCTACAGAGTAAAAACCCTTAGCCAAAAGTAATTTTTTGACTTGTCTCTTGAAACATCTACTCTCCTTTATTGTTCTTATGCTATGAGGTAGGTGATTAAACATTTTCTTAAGGGGGGGGGGAAGGTTAAAATACGTCTGTCTATAAAGAATGGTCTGCAAGAGTTCCGTGGACTAAGAACACAACGACCTTATAGCACGCTTCTGGAGAACAAATATGATGTTGAACAATGTTAATGAGCAAGAACCCCAGAAGCAAATGCCATAACTAAGATGTGACTCGATCAAAGAAAAATACACCCGTCTAGCAACTGATTCGCCCAGCTCAGCCTTGACAGTTCTAACAGCAAAGCATGCTGATGATATTTTTTTTACATAAATGCTCAGTGTGTTTGTCACACCTGAAGATCATTAACATATAGTAAAAACAACAATGGCCCCAAAGCAGACCCTTGCGGAACGCCGGCGCTAACACTTAGGCTACCGGAAACCCTACCCCCTGAGACAACACTCTGACTTCTGTGTGACAAATAAGAACCAAACCACCTCAGGACAACACCCCTAAAACCATAGAGTTCGAGCTTGTGCAGCAGTATCTCGTGACTGACGCAGTCAAAAGCCTTTGTCAAGTCACAAAACACCGCTGCAGCCTTCTCACCATCATTAAGTCTGAGGTATACCTGCTCCAGGACATTGAAAATGGCGTCACTCGTATTTAGGAAAACCACCATCCTCTCCTTCATGAGCTTTTCAACTATCTTGCTTAGCGTAGGCAGCAATGATATTGGGCGATAGTTAGAAGGTAACTCCTTCTCTCCTCCCTTGAAAATTGGAATCACCCTGGCTTTTTTTAAAAGGTTGGGAAATTACAAGTTGTTTCATTTCTATACTCATACCACAACCTTTTCCTCTACCAACTCAACTCAGGTGGAAATGTTAACAACAACCCACTTGATCTGGTTTTTATGCAAGGTAGGAGATATTTGCAACACCACTGTCTTTTGAGGTCAAATATTGTTTTAACAACTCGGATGGTTAATATCTTCCAAGAGATTGTCTACCTAAAAATTTATATTTTTGTTCCTTTTCAAGAAGTTTCCTATTTGGTTATCGCCAGAACCTATGATAAAATAAAAACACATGCGAGAGCAATATCACATTGACAGTCTTATTTGTTGCAATGATGCAGTAAATATGTCTATTTGTATCTTGTTAGCATAAGACATAGACCAATTAATGGTTATATGTTGGCCATATGAGGTGTGATATCTCTCCAATAAAAAACAGCGCACATCTCTTATCTAAGGTTCCTAGTTGGGACATTTAAGTCGCTGAGCTGAGAGCAGCTCAGGGCAAATCAGGTAACCTCTGAGCAACTTATAAATCAATAACTGATCAAATTTTTTATGTCTATGCTCTAATGTTTCCATTGATAAAATATATTCTAAAGATGATTATACTTTATAAAATAAAATCTGATGGTATTTCCAATTTGTAACCTATGTAGGTATCTCAAGATTTTCTTCTGTACGGGTTCAATTATGAGATATATACCTTCTGTAATGCGCTATAATAGTGTTATAAGTTATTCTGGAGTTGGGAGTTGGGATTGTTAATTTGTTTGCTGAAAACTTTTCTAAAACTTATACTAGTCTTCCCTGGCATGGTGAAAACAGAGATGACCTCAAATTAACAATTGATAGGACCTGCGTGAAGTTAAGCTTTGATGTGATGCAAATTTGCTTTGTTTTAATGTAAACAAAACCAGCATGATCACCGTTGGGTTTTGCTACAATGATTTGTATTTGAATGATGAAATTGTAGAAAATCAACCCATTACAAAATTTTTAGGTCTCATCATAGACAATAAACTTAAATTTGAGGACCATATAAGGGCACTAAGTAAAAGGCTCGGTAAAAGGTTGTCTGCTGGTTACTTTGCAATCAGAATAGTTTCCAAGCTTAGTTGTTCTATTTGAATCTCTTGTGAGATATGGTATAGCTTTTTGGGGATTTACTAATCGGCAACAGTTTAACTCGATATTTGTTTTACGAAAGGGGGCAATTTGTTATTTGTGTAAAGTTGCAGGTCGTGAACATTGTCAACCGCTATTTATTAGGGAATTTTTTCAACTGTACCATGTTTATTCGTTTTAGAAAGTGTATGTCTTGTGCACAAGAAATATTCAGGTTTGGAAACTTGGGATATTGGGTACAACACTAGAGTAAGTTCGAACACTAATATAGGCTTACCTATACCAAAGTCTGCTTTAGCAAAACACTCAATATTCTATGAGAGCAAAAAAATGTTCAACCATCTAAGTAATGAACTTAAAACGATCAGAAACTACAAACTATTTCGTAGAAGGATATATTGTTGCAAAGGGCTTACTACAGCTTGGAGGACTACTATAGTGACACTGTATGACTATACAACCTTTTTTCTTTTTGAGTACTCTTGTCTTTTATCATTCAACGCTCTTATTTACATTTTATCATTTTAGTATAGTTTTAAGCTCGGTTTTAAGTATATGTAATATTGCTTGGATCGCCGTACTATTTGTCTTTTTCGATCAGCAATTTGGATGCATTTCTCATCGCTCCACAGAACTCAACCTTTTAACATTTACTGACTATCTCTTGGAATCCTTGGAGGGTGGTTATCAAGTTCATGCTGTGTATACTGATTTTGCAAAGGCGTTCAATCGGGTTAACCATAGAGTTTCAATTGATAAGTTGCAGGGCCTGGGAATTCAGGGGGTACTTCTAGAATGGCTTTCTTCTTTCCTATATGAAAAAACACACGTAGTGCGTATTTAGGGATTGCAATCAATAGAAATTAAAGTACCATTGGGTGTACGCCAAGGTTCACACCTGGGCCCTCTACTCTTAAATTTATATGTGAACGATATTGCATTCTCTTTTGTCTTTGCTTTCTTCCTAATGTTTGCAGATGACTTAGGTAAAATCATGCATGAGAATCAAGAATAATACCGTTATAATACTGATTGCATAAAACTGCAGCCGACTTAGATCGTCCCAGCAGCTGGTGCAAAATTAATAGAATGGAACTTTATGTTAAAAAGTGCCATCTTACAGTCTTTAGTCATAACAGAAATTCCACAGAACAAGTCCACACTATAAATGGTTGCCCTTTGGAATCTGTAAGTCAAATCCGTGGTTTAATTAAAGATCTAGGTGTAGTCCTTGATTCCAAGTTATTTAACATACCCCATATATCAATTATGTCTGTATCAAAGTCACTTCAAATATTAGTTTTTATTAAATTAAAAGGTGTGCACCCCACTTTGCTTAACGCAATTTCATTTCTGAAACTATAGGGTCTAAATGAGCAGACATTCTCAGGGATTGTAGTGTAGTCCTCCACAAGGATGAGATTCACTGAAAATTTCAGCTTTCCATCTATAATAGACAAAAAGTTAAAAAAATTTAAAAATCCATGCCAGATAGTATTAAAATGATGAACGCTCGGTAGTAATCATCTGTCAAGAGATAAATGTGAAACCAGTGTATAACCAACGAGTGAAGTTAAGATGTTTAAAAACATCCCAGTAGGTGGCTTTTTTAAGACAATCAAAAATGTGATTTTTGCAGTGCACCCCTCAACATTTATTCTACCTCATATTCACAAATCACATAAACACGCATAATCCATAAGTGAAAGGTTGGCGCAAAAAATTCCAGGTTGGTATTTTAGACACATCAGATATTGGCATTAGAAAGTTTTATTTATGTTTTTATTCTTTGTTGCTGAATGTGAAACAAGCAAATTACCAGATTTGATCACCAACAACTTACAATTCAACAATACGATTATAGCTGAAACCAATAGTTATTGGTACAAAAGTTTATGATATTAAGTTTATGAACTAGAAAATAATGCTCATTATCAATATCACATTTTAATCCTTTAGTTGAATGAGTTATCTTTAGTTCTGGTTCTTGTAGTCTGACTTGATAATTAATAATAAAAATTGTTAGAAAGTTTTTTTCCTCAAGTAATGGTAATAAGGTAACCTTCCTAGCAATTTTCATAACAACGAAAGCTCAGATCAATCAGTGTAATTCAACACTGGTAGGGGTATTTGCTCTCGGAGTAGTTGTTTCTGACTGGTCAACGAAGTTCAATATTAAAAATGGTTAAAAGTTTGATGAAATCCTCTATAAAATCTCTTTGTTCTAGCATTGAGGATATGCCATGGGCGCAGAACTTATGGGAGAAAATTGAGCAGCATAGCAAAAAAGGCTTTCTCAACTGGTGTAAAATTGTAAAAAAAGTAGCCGGTAACAAAGGCGAAGATGTCCTTATGTGGAATAACGAGTATCTCAGGTCGGTCGATGAGATTTTTTGCGATATGGTGGCCGAAATGTCGCGAATTCATTCGTCAACCATTAATAAAATGCAAGAATTTTTCACTCGACTAGAAAAGGCGTGCATCGAACTCCACCAACCAATGCCTGAAATAAAGGAAGAAGGTTTAAGTCTTTACGAAGCCCAGCAACAATTATTGAAATATGTCAAAGAGTGAGTTGTTAAAAAAATTAATTTACATACCTATTTAATTTTTTTTTTCAAATTAATTTAGATATGAAGTTGTCATCAATGCTAAGAAACTAGCTCTCGAAAATCTTAACAAAAAACAAATACAATTATGCAAAGAGTTGGACCAGAAACTACAAATTGATTTGAAGTACCCCCCACTGCCTACCCAAGCACAGTTTGATAAATTGAATAAGTATATCGATAAATTAGAAGCAGAAAAGTTTGAACGCGAAGAAAAATTTGTAAATTTGAAACATGAAATCACAGAAATCGTTGATGAAATCAAATACAAACCAAATAGCGACTTTGAAAGAGAGGTTTGATTTTTGTAAAAAAATTTTTTTTAATAACCCTTGATAAATATTTTTTCAATAGGTATTGTCTTCAGATGATATGATGTTGAGTAACCAGAATCTAAAAATGCTGGAGTTTTTCGCCAAGTGTATGAAAGAGCTCAAACTATCCACCGAAGAAGAAGTGTCCCATTTAAGAACAAGAATTGAAGATCTATGGAAAATGTTGGATATCGAGTTAATAGATAGAGATGAATTTAGAAGTCATTATACAGGCAACTCATTAGACACTTTGGAAGCGTTAAAAATTGAAGTTAAAAGATGCGAGGAACTTAGAAAAGCCAACATAAAAAAAAGTAGGGGTGCTCAAAATGAAAATGTGGTTCCTGATCCAAATGAAACTAAGGATACAACGTACCATGACTTTCAGGTAAGATTTTAGACTTTCCTAAAATAATTTCAGTACAAAATTTTATATTGAACAAATCCATATTTTATACAGTGCTTTTTGGCTTATTTTCGTAATATAATAATGTGCAGAACAATCTACAGAATTCGATTGTGTCTATATTTTTCATTGCCGATATTTCGTTTATCATATGTGCACTTATCCGAGATCAGAAATAATATATTTTCGGCCTAAGAGAAGACAAATAGACTCACTATGCGATCCGTAAAAATATTGTGTTGTATCGGACGGTTCGACTATAGGTACTACCGTGAAACTGCCCTTATTTTCCATAAATTGAACAGACTTCTTCAAGACGATAGAGTCAACAGCACAGAAAAAACCTATTTACTAGACTGCCATATTTCTGTGTTATTGGAAAAAATGAACACTTTAATTGGATGTACTAAATACTTTAATAAATAGTGATAATAAAATACTTTAATTTACAGAGAAACTCAATGGCGTACAGCTCTCTTTGCTCACCTATTGAAGAGGGTCAGTACTATTTTTTTTATATTCATCAATATTGCTTTGATAATATTTGTATGACTTTTGTAACAATTTTGTATGAACTATTATTAACTATTTTTTTATCACACATAAAATGTAGATTTTGATGCATGTAAGAAAAAAGCTTGGGTCCATTTTTTACCAGAGCTTGCATGGTATTTCGCTTTGAAACTCTTGATAATAAAAAATAAATAGATATTTTGTGTTTTTTTTTTTTAGAGCAATTGTCGAATAAAGGACAATCCACGCGCAGCACCATCTTGCCAAGTGAGCTAACTCCAGCGACTTCCTCAAAAGCTACTAAAAGGACACCTAAAAAAACTCCCACTTTTAAAACTCCAACCAGGACTCCAGCATCTGCAAAAACTCCTTCCTCTAGGACCCCTAATGGGACTAAAAATGAAACCAAGCTTGCTGTGTGCAAGAGTAAATTGAATTTACTGTTTTAGTTGTGTTGTGATGATATTTATTTGTTTTGGAGTATTTGATTTTTTTTATATTTTTACATGCATATAATCATTTCCAATTTGTATGTTTTGTTTATTAAATTATGTTATTTGGGAGTCTCTTTTGAGGTTCATTTAGACCTGGAAAATGGTAAGTTTAGTTAAATTGGTGCAAAGTGGAGTATTTCCATGTTGAACAAAATGGCCTTGCAAATACAAATATGATACTTACATTCCAAATACTTACTGATGAGATATGTTGAAAAATCAAAATTTTGCAAAATAATAAGGCTGGGATTACCCAATCTTAATCATTCCGTGTTCTCAGTGTTTTTAAATGAGGGTACTCATTCAAATCTTCAATAAGCAGATTTCGAATAATCAGAAACCACAAAAAGCATCTTTTTACAAAAATTGAGGAGCTTGTGGCGGGATTCTGTAACGGACAGAGATCGTTATCTCTTTTGCTATGGCACTTGCTGTTTTCTTCTCTCTTTCCGAAATCAATAGAGAGGGGACGTCAATAGAGAATGCGAAAATATCTCTCTGGTAACCCTGGCCTTATTTTGAAATTATATTCCAATTGGGGCAACCTTTTACCCTCTTCAAGGAGCTGCTACCAAATTTGAAATAAGCTGATACCTTTGGCCATTGTATAATGACTGGCCAAAAACAAGAATTTGTATTGCCATTCTTGTTTATCAACAATATCATTGTTGATGGTTTCCACAGGAGTACATTCAAAGTTACAATGACTCCGAATAATCCTAGGAAAAATAGAAACGATTTTGCAAAATATGATGTTTTTTCACGATATCCAGATTTTATAGCGGCATTTTGTTGAAACGGCAGAAACCCTAGGTTAGTATAAAGTATCATATAACTAATTTCAAAATGTCGCCAAAATCGGATATGTGGATCAACGACCTCCCGTCTGCCAAATTAAATTTATGTTGCATTTACGAGTTAGAGATCAATAAGGAAATGGCAGAAAATCTCGGTTGGTATAATAATATTTAACAATTTTTGAAGTTGTATCAAAATGCTGAGATGTTGAAACAATTTTCTCCCGCCTAAAACATGTTTTGTTACATTGGATTTTAGATAAATAATGTACCTTTGCACCGGCAGAAAAATTGAAGTGGTACAGATATTTACAGGGTTTGAAAAAATCACGATTTTTTTTAAAAAAATCAAAAATCAATGATTTTTATTAAAAAAATCAAAAAAATCGATTTTTTTGATTTTTTTTTTGATTTTTTTGATTTTTTTTTTTGATTTTTTTGATTTTTAAAGTATTTTTTTCTACAAACGTGTTAAAAATGCAATTTTTAACACCGCCCCGAAGCATTAAAAATGTTACTTTATCGCACTAGTGCCATAAAGTCTTTATAGCACTAGTGTTAAAAGTGAAACATCAAATTTTGAGAGCGGACGTCAAAAAAAGTTTGTATTTTCAGTTATTTACATTGATAATAATGGTGAAATTTGAACAACTGAGGTAGCCCGATTGGCCGCCTCATCTATATTTTTCGAAGGATCGATGCAACTCTCTTTTTCTTCTGTATTTTGTTGCATTTTTAGCAAAAAGCATTCATGACCACGACATACTTTCAAGAAACTGACAAGACATTTCGTTACCTGTAAAACAAGGTGCTGGCATTATGGATTTTTTGACAAATGTCAAATTCAAGAATTTTATATAGGAAAGATGCTTCCAATTTATTATTCATTTAAAAATCCAATTTGTTAGTGGTTATTGCTTTTTATTGCCGTTTGTAGAAAAAATATTGTATGATATTTGTGTTAAAAGTATTTTAAAGCACTTATGTGAATTGCAGAATTCGCTTCGCTCATTCTGCAAACTTTCACATGCGTGCCTTAAAAATGTACTTTTAACACTTATATCATAAATAACTATTTATGTGCAAATAATAAGAAATAGTATTTTTTGATTTGATTTCTACCCGTCTTGTGTACTAGTTTATTTTTCATTTCATTCATGTTTTAACCTGCAACCTGCAAAATGAAGAACTCCGCCAGTTCTCGTCCTCAAACTTGTTTGTCGCGTGCGCGTACGCGTATTTTCCTGTAAAATCATGTCTTCTCAATATACTATAAAAGGGAGACGGAGAACAATTTGTGAGGCACTTTGTTTAAAACTGTTGTTTGGACTCATCTGAGTCTGTGCTGCGCTGCAGATAAGTTAATCAAAAAGTTAATAAGTATACAGTGGTGGGTTTCACAAAAGAATATTCCTGATGTTGCAAAACTTCTTCCTATAGTGAAGCAATTTTTATGTGCTGTCGCTTCATCAGCTTCGGTAGAGAGAGTATTTTCTACATTTGGACTCATTCACTCCAATTTACGAAATAAATTAGGAGTGGAGAAAGCAGGAAAATTAGTGTTCCTGTATAAATACTATAATGAAAATAAGTAAATTCAATTTGAAAACTATATATTTTTTCAATATGTATTAGGAATATCGTTTTATTTTTGTTAACAGTATTTGTAATGGATTTAATTTGTATTATTTTGTAAAATAAATGTTGAAATTATGTTTTTTTTTTTTGATTTTAATCAATGATTAAAATTTAAAAAATCACTGATTAAAATCGTTGATTTAAATCGCGATTTAAATCGGTCGAATCCTGGATATTTATTTTTAATTTTTCAAAATGTCAAAATTTTTCAAATTTGAGATCAATTATTTCCCGTCTGGCATTAATTTATATTGAATAAGTTGCTACCAAAAGCTTAAGTTTTGACTAGCAGAAATTGCAGACTGGTACAAGTCCTAATAAACAATGAACAAAATTGCGACAAAAATTGATTATATGCTGAACGTTTTTAACCCGTCTGCCATTTGGTTAAGTGAAATGTAGTTATGAGAATATGCATATTTTCAATATGGCAGAAACCGCAATAAGTTACATAAATTGCACATTATGGTTGTTAAATTGCAATTTTCTCCCGTTTGTCTGCCAACTTAATTGAGTAGAGTTACTATCAAAACATTCAAAACAACTGAATACCTATCAAAAGGCAAAATTACTGCGCTTATGTACAAATCGTCGTTAATTTGACAAAGGGACGTATATAAGAAATAAGCGATTTTTCGTTTTCAGGGAATTTATGTCGCAAAACATCAAATTTATAAGCCCTCTAATTGGCGCATATGAACTGCCAGTAGTTTCTGAGTTATACACATTTTTCTTTTAGACGTATGTTTTGAAGCAATAAATATGTATCTTCCTAAAATGCGAATATCATATACGCCTGTAATATTTTTTTTTAGAGATGACCTCGAAGCTGGCGTTGGCGTATATAGTAATACATATACGCCTTTTTGCGGACGCGCACCAAACCTGTTTTAAACCAAAATTTAGCTCATAACGGAAGACATTAGTCAGTCAATTTAATGCACTTGTTCGTGTTTTGGTTTGTGTTTTTATTGCTTTTCAAACAAACAAAAATGGATGTTCTAATTAAATGGAGAGGCAGCATACAAAATATTGTGGATTCGCGACAGATAGTAGTTTTGGGCAAAAATAAAACTCTAGAAGAAGGCAGTTATGTGAAAATGTGGTGGGTAGGTAGGAAAAAAAAAAAAAATGGTATTGTGGATCTGTCATAGCCATAGCTGTAGAGAAAAATGAGGACTATGATGATACGTCAGCTACATTACCATGTAGTGATTATTCTAGTGATGCGGAATCAAATTTGCCAATCAAAGTATAAGAAAAAAATTATTTAAACAAACCAGTAGTCCGCGATGAGGCTGAATCATAATTATAGTAGTAGAGAGTAGAGAAGCCCTAACGATAGGTATGCCTTAAACTGACATTTGTCCATGTAAAAATAGAGAGTTATTGGAGATTTCAAAATAAAGCAAGCCGTAATAAGGCAACTACCTTATTCAAATAGCGCTTTACCTAAACGCGGCTGAAAAAAACAGTTATTGTTCACGATCACGAACACGTCAAGATACGGCTGTTCCTTAATTCTATTTCTAACCTTACTTCACTTACTGACAGCTTTGCTTTGTTGACAAATTTCAAAAATCCGTCAAAATAAGGGCAAATTATATTATTAGTGCGTGACTTTATTCATGCAGTAATAAAGTCTAGCACAAACGTTAATAAAACTAGCCTTATTCAACGGCGCAACTGTGTATGCGCAGATGTCAATATAGCGTTCGCATTATTACTGCTGGACCTTATTTCACTTCCAATAACTCTCTAATGTCATTTTAGGTAATACTTATCGTTATGGCTCCCCTAAAATACCTTCACCTTTAGCTAGTTAGTTTGTCACCTTACTTGTGTTGTGTGTCTTTTATTCTATTAATTTGGCTTTTTACACCAAAAACATGTTCTGTAACTCTGTTTCCACTATACGTACCTGACGAGTAAGTCTAAAATAACTCTTTTACATATATAAGAACAAAATGTTTTCAGGACCGACCCTGATGATGGCCCTTCACTGGGCCGAAAGCGCTCGGTTGATACTCAATAAAAAATATACACCTTTACACTAAAGGATAACGCACACCTAATATGGGATTTTTGGGCTCCATGGATTCTGCCCATTTTTTGATATGTTGTAGAGGATTTAATTCTGAACAACCTTTAAATGGGACGAAACCTTGTAGGTATTACGGTCTTTGAGATAGGAGCGTTGAAAGATGAACTTTCTTGAGACTTTTTGTGTGGAGAGTGTACGAAAAGCTGGTATTTATCAGTCAAAATTTTGACAAGTCGACATATTTCACGTCACTAACAAATGTCAACATAGGCTAATGCCGGGACCGCATTGGCGCCAACATTGACCCCAGTGTGGTCCCGGCCTTAACCTATGTTAACATGTTGACATTAATTTTCAAAGTGACGTAAAATATGTAAACATGTCAATATTTTGATTGATAAACACCAGTATTTCGTATACTCTCCACACAAAAAGTCGCTAAAAAGTTCATCTTTCAACGCTCATATCTTAAAGAC